TCGAGGAAGATCATGTTCATTGATCATGTTGCAAGTTCCTTATAGTCTTATCGTATTACTCCTATTGCCTCAACTACAGGGTTCTTCTATGTTCTTCTCGAAACCTCGAAGCTAAGGAACCTACCACCCGGTCACATCCCTGTGACATCCAAATCTGTTCACCGTCACCAAATCTGTTCAGGCACAATGGGCACAATACCGCCAACACCACTGACCTGAACCGGATGAGTCCAGTTCTTTCCGATGAGGAGCCCTCGGCGGCCTGGGAAGAGCCGCCGGCCAATTCAGGGCGACCCCTTGCCCTGGATCCACCTATCAGATACCCCCCTGCAAACGAACATAAGAATTGACCCATGGAAGACCCTTTTTCTCTACAACCCAGTGGTCTTGGGGTTCCATGTGGTCCTTTGCAGGGGAGTACGGAAGGCAGGAGCTGACCCCGTCCCGAGCCCGATCCCCCGACCGATGGGTACTGGTGGGGCCACCGAAAGGCTGAGGCTGTGGAGATTTGCAGAGAGTCTTTAGAGCCTTAGGACACTGAACGTGCAAAGAAAGGAAGGAAGGAAGAACCCCGAACCAGGTATCTCATTTCTGACAGGATCAGACCGTGAGTGACGACAGTCAACGGCGCAGGACAGTGAGCAGGCGCCAAATGGTAGTGCACTGTCAAAGGCCGCACGGGTCTTGCTGGCTTTGGTGGGGATTCTAGTGCCTTGGTGGAACAGTGGAGCCTGGACTTCCAACAGCCACTACCACCCAGTGGTTTGAGAGCTATTTTCCATGCACATTTCGGAATGGTTATGCCATTTCACTGGCATTTTAAGGATGGTGTTCAATCACCAACCAGACTGTTGTTGAAGTTGAACTCCTATACTGATATGATGTTTCCAAGGATCATGAACGCCCAACAACCGCTTCTCTACCATGTTGATTGACAAGTGGGCCAGGTCGGTGAACCAATGTGTTTATTGCACGGTGGGTCAGGAGCATACCAGGGGTATGTGTCATTGAGTTCTTTGTTGTATGCTGGCTGGGCCATATGGGTCTATGGCTGGGTCTTTGTGGCGTCTCTGGATCTTTGTTTGAGATACCCAACAGATCCAACCACAGCGATACATGTGCGACCACAGCGATTCCCCGCCCGTGGGGCTATCGGCAATCCCATCCAAACAGATGCTGAACATCCATGTCGAACGCCAAGCCATTTCCCTCAGACTGGACTTCACTGGACATCGTGTTTTCGGTCGGAGACGATTGGGCGTGCGCTTTGGGATCCGATGAGACTTCAACTGAACAAAGCGAAGTCTCTTGAAACGGTACTGGATGTGTCCAAACACTGTGTTTCACATGTCTCATGTCTCGCCATCGCATGCCATCGCTGACGTGTGCAAGGACTACCAGGATGGCTTGTTGTGGCGCATCTTGTCATTTTGCAGCATCCTCTTTCCAGAGCCTTGTCATGTCCAGAGGGGATGCATCCGGGGACGGGGAAGGACTGGCGTTGGAGACTGTCCTTGAACATTGGCCGGAAGACCTGGGATTTGGAGTCCGGGAGGTCAACAGTTTTCAGACTTTGCTTTGCTTGAGCCAGCAACTGTACCTTCCACTTCGTTGACTGCGATTGGGTGAGTTGAGTCCAACTCCGATTTATTCTGGGGCCTTAGGACGACAAACGATCAACAGTAGGTGTGGCGTATCATCTTTGGACTGTTGCTTCCCTGCAAATATCTCAATTATTTATTGCTCCTATAGTCGCTCCCAAGTAGCCAAGTACCGTCCAGGTGCCCCCAAGTAGGCAACAATATGTCATAGTTTCAGACTTGTTTAATTTCGTTGATTCCAGATTCCACGTTGCCGGAAACAAAGCACCTTGCCACGTTTGTGGTGCAGTATGGTGCAATGATTCAACATGGTTCCAGTGCCAGAGCTCTTTGCAGAAATCCCCACCACAGGTTGGTGTTTCTACAACCTTCTTCGTCACGAGTTTGATGGCTGGTGCAGAGCCTCGAGCGTTCAGCACCTACATTTGTGGCTCGACGTGGTGGGGAAATCAAGCATGTCGAGTCGGTGTTGAGATCGAATGGATTTGTTCATTGCCAATCAAGGCGCGAGACTCCCTGGCCCAGTTTCGGAAAACGTTCTTGACAGGTACAGCCACTTGTGTTCCCCCAAGCTTGAGAATGGTTGATCTCCGACGGTTTGCTGTGGCCCAAATCCCAGGATGTCCTTTTGCCTTTGTTCGCGCTTAACGCGCCATGGAGCTACGAGGTGAGTGAAAAGGGTGCTTCGGATAGCGCTCGCTCTTGGAAGGGTTGAGACCCTTGGTACATTGGCCTTGGTTGGTCTGCTAGTTCATACAGGTTTTGAACCCCGTTGTTGACAGCCTCTTTTGCTTGAGCATTGCATTGGAGCCTGCCAGCTACCAATACTGGTAGCGGAGCCCTGAACTCCAGGGCTCCCTACTGGGTTGGTGGTCATTGCTGTTGATCTTGGATTGCCTTAGGCATTGTTGGATTGGACAGCGATCTGGCCTTCGAGGCCCGCCCTGGTGTTTGGGGCAACCGGAATTCGTTTGTTGCAGGAGCATGACATCAGTGGAGCGCAAGGAACACATTGCTACATGGAATGGTGATGCAACATTGTGGCTTGACTATGTGAAGAGAGTTAGGTTGCAATATGAGAGGACGGAGCCCAAGAAGCGTTGTTTGTTGGGAGCAGAGTTGGCTAGTCAGTTGACAGGCAAAGCTTGGGATGTTGCATCGGCAGAGATCGACCACTCCAAGCTACAGCAGTCGAATGGAGCATCTTACTTGTTGTCATTCCTGGAGGAGCGCCTGTGCAAGACACCAGTTCCGGACGTTGGCCAACGACTTGAAGAGTTTTTCATGAAGTTGAGGCGCCAACCAGGAACTTCCATGACAGAATGGGCAACTTCGTTGAGGGAATCATACAGACGCCTTCAACGAGCTATGGCTCGCCAGAGACAGCAATCACAGCCGACATCCTCCAAGAAGGAGACTGCACCTGTTGGACATACCACTCCATTGACGACCCCTAGTCGTGAACGACGCTCGGATCGCACAACACCACAGGCCCGTCATGAGACCTTCGCCACCTTTCCGGATGTTGAAGTGACCTCCAACCCCGGTAGAGCTGGAGACGATCAGCAGGAACCTTTCGAGCCCGATGCCCCTCGGCGTAGTGATTATGCTGAGGTCCCTCAGGATGATGACCAAAGGTGGACTGCTGCCGAATGGCGGGACTGGCAACGCAATCGCTGGTCATGGTGGGAAGATAGCTCTTCCATTGCCCCTTGGCCTGAAGAAGAAGAGGTGAAATGGGAACAGTTTGAGTTTGATGATGTTCAAATTCTCCCCCAAGAGTTGTTGGGTTGGTTGCTGCTGCGCCGCAGTGGATTGCCTGCTGCCGCCCGGCTTTCGGTGCTGAGCGCCATCAACAACAAGCTCGATCTGGAAACCATGGAACGAGCGATGAGAGATCAGGAGGAGGAGTTGCTAATGGCCGAACATCATCGAGCACCTCATCTCGCTCGACCTCGACGTTCCTTTTGGGTTGAGCAGGACTCTGAATGGGGACTTTTGAATGAACCCGACATGGATGAGGTCGAAGAAGCTTCGATCTACTGGGTTGGTGATCGTTTGCCTCCTGAGGTCTATCCTTCATGGGAAGAACCTGCTACAGCCTGGACTTCATGGTCACCCGATGGCCAAGAGCTGACCTGGACCTGGCAGGAGGACGACTTCTATGCTCAGGACATGGCCGGAGCCTTTTGGTCATGGACTGAGTACAAAGAATGGTTGGACGCAGAAGACATGGCACTTTCCAACCCCGATGACTCAGAGAACATTTTTGCTGTTTATGCCGCCTTCCAAGAAAAGATGAGATCCTTTCGGGATAGCAGGAAGTTGAACTATGCTAAGCAGCACTCACGTGGTTACTACCCCCTCTCCATGTTCAAGGGCAAGTCCAAAGGGAAGGGCAAAAAGGGGAAACCCAAAGGTTCTTTTGGTTCACCACCATCATCCACCTCGACAGCACTGGCCAGCTTTCAGAAGGGCAAGGGTTCTTCGGGCACTCAGCGCCCTGGGAACCCTGAGTATCGCGGATGCTTCATCTGCGGTTCAAAGGAGCATGACTTTCGCTCGTGCCCTCGCCGGAATGGGGATTCAGGAACATCTTCATCGGCAAGGCCAAACTACTTCCAGAACCAGGTCTTCGTGATCCTCTCGGTGGATGACAGCGAGACCACCGTGCTGACAGCAGATGGTGAGGACACAGCCTCATCCTTGGCTGCAGTGGCCGTTGAATACCCTGGCCATGCAGTGATTGATTTGGGAGCGACGGAATCCCTCGCGTCGCTAGATGCCCTGCAGGAGATCATGAACCTGCGGTTGATCAAGTTTGGATGAGAAGAAGAAGTGGTCGTGAAGGAGGAGACCAAGAAGTTCAAATTCGGCAATGGTGGCACTCAGAGAGCCGCCTCCTTTGTTGAGCTTCCTCAAGTGATTGGAGGAACAAAAGTTGCTTTAGGTGTGCACGCAATTGATGCACCTGGAGTTCCTTTGTTGTTGAGCGTTCGCACTTTGCGACGCATGGGAGCTGTCATCGATACAGAGCGCAACATGATGCAGCTTCGAAAGTTCTCAGAAGAATGGATTCAGCTGAAGCAGAGTTCGAATGAACACTTGCTGCTGGACATGACTTGTGACTGGTATCACCCTATGCCAAACAGTGCATCCACAACCGCCGGAGCATACATGGAGCGATCGTGCAGCACATATCCTCATGTCCCTCATGCTCATGATTTGGAACCACATGATTTTGTTTGTGCACCTTCCCATGGTCAAGAGCATTCGGAACTTTGTGACAGTCATGTTTTTGAGAGAGTTTCATCGTGTCCGATCGAGTCGAAGCCGCACTTTTCAGCAGAGCAAACATGTTTGACCACGTCACCAACACCGGATGCCACAGGCTCAAGCATGCCATCTGTGGCGAAAGCTTTGACTACGCTTGCTGCAGCTACCCGTGCTCTCCACCCTGTGCTTCATGGCTATGGCCACTCAGGGTCGCATCCCTACGAAGGAGGAATTGGAGTCAGCTCCAAGCACTGGGACGCCGGCAAGCCGCTCGACGACTTCGACTACAAGTTCCAAGCCTCAGCGGAAGTCCCGAAAGGACAGAACCCCGACTCCAGAGAAGTACGACCTGACCAGAACCACTGGTCCTCCAGCCGACGATCCAAGGAGTCAGGGATTTCCGTGCTTTGGCAATCATATCCCGATGGCACCCAGGAGAGGGTCCCTGACGGGACGAAACAAGTTTGGGATGTGGACTTGTTGCGAGACCTGCAGGCTGCGGATTTCCTACACCCCAGCCTTCGGGGCAACAGCACTGCACCGACAAGCAGGTCCACTACCTGCGGATGTCACCACGACCATCGAGCAGCTCGAGCCCCAGAAGATCAAGGAGGATCCCATGTACCGCGAGCAGCTCAATGCCAAGTCGGTGGGCTACAAAGGGGCCGAGGATTCGTTGCATCGCCGCTTGAAGGAGATCGAAGAGTCCAAGAAGAAGAATCCACCGCGGCAACGACCAGGTGCAGCGAAGGACACCGAGATGCCATCGGTCCATGCCTCTTCGGCTCAAAAGGGAGCTCAGGTGACACCAGAGCAGAAGAAGTCCACCAAGAGGGAGAACGACCAGACTCCAGAGCACGAGGAATGGTCCTTGGTGAAGGAGCCGGATTCGCCCGAGCAGGCATCTCCCGACAAGGTGTAGATGACTTCATCCCGGAGAATGTCATGATGCCGACCATCGAACCCCTCGAGAACCCGATTCAGGACGATGAGAAGTACCAGAATGGTCGATGTGGCTTCTTGACTGATAGTCAGCGGACGCAGCTATGCCTCTGTGCGGAGGAGTTCCTGGAAGAAGCTCATTCGGCATGGCAAGACATCCTTCCTCCCGAAGATGGCATTGACCTCATGGAGATCTGCTGCCCCCCGGACTCGAGATTGACTCAGACCTTCCTGGACCGTGGACGCAAGGCTATAAGAGTTGGTTTGCCAGCTCACAACATCGCCACCTCCAAGGGAGTTCAAGAGATCAAGAACATGATCACTCGTTGGAAGCCAAAGCTGACATGGTTTTCTTTGCCCTGCGGACCTTTCTCTCCCATCCAGGAGCTCTTCAACGAGAAAGATGACTTGGCCAAGGCCAAAAGCATGGAGAGAAAGCAGAAGGCGAAGAAGATGATCAAGAATGGTCTTGATATCGCCACTCATCAACTTCAACAAGGCCGTGATGTGGCTTGGGAGTGGCCCTCGAACAATCGAGGATGGAATCTTCAGCTGGTTCGCCAATTTTGGAGCCGGCTTGAACAGACAGGTGATCTTCATTGTGGACACGCCAACGGATGCGCCTTTGGCTTGCGGGAAGAGAAGTCAGGTCTTCCCATCCGAAAGCCCTGGCTGATCAAAACGACCTCCAAAGTGGTGGCTCGAGCAGTTTCACGAACATGTCCTGGCACAGCAGTTCATCCACATCATCATGAATGCATTGGAGGTTCAGTGGCTCGCAACTCAGGCTTCTACCCTTCGGCTTTGTGCGATGTGATCTTCAAGGCCATCAAAGAGATGAATATGGCTGAAGCCAATGGTGTGATCCCAGCCTGCGCCTATCCCGTCTTTGGCACAGGTGACATGGAGCTAGAGAAACCCAAGAAGACCTATGAGCCCCTGAATGAGAAGGAGAAGCGTGGTGTCCTCCAGATGCTTGAACGTTTGCACAAAAAGACAGGTCACCCATCCAATGCTGCTTTGAGCTCATGCCTACGACATCGAGGTGCTCACCCAGAGGTCATCCAGCTTGCAAGCAAGCACATGTGCCCTGAATGTCAGGAACTACGTGCCGCACCTCTACATCCAGCATCTTCCCTGGAAAAATCAGAAACTCTATGGGAGACACTGGTGATTGACAACATGGAGTTCACTGTGTCCGACATCACCTACCACATGATGGTGATGGTGGACGAAGCCTCAAGGCTGATGTGCTGCCACTACCTCTACGAGCATCCGGCAGCTGAGTCGCGCAACGCGACAAGTGATGAGGTCATCCATGGCCTTGAGAGCACTTGGATCTTGCACTACGGTCTACCTGGCAAGATCAGAATGGATCCAGAAGGAGCCTTTCGGTCCAATGCACTTGGACTATGGGCTGAAGAACGAGGAGTCGAACTTCTTCCATGCGCGGCGGAAGATCATGGCCAGATAGGGATCGTGGAACGGTCCATCCAAACCATCAAGGCCACCATCCGCCAGATTCTACAAGGAAGTGATTGCACTCCGTGGCAGGCCGCCATTCAATCCTGTCAGGCTCACAACCAGCTCGAGAAGATCGAGGGCTATTCACCATTTCAGTGGGCATTTGGCAGACAGCCGACTGTGACTGGCCGGTTCCATGAGAATGGGTACGACGATCCGTACTGGACCTCAGTGAGAGTGCCTGGCTCCAGCATGATGAAGAACCTCTCACTCCGGATCTTGGCACAGCAATCTTTCCTCCAGCAGCAGTCTCGAGAACTTATTTCGAGAGCTTCAAATGCCAAGACGCGGAGGAAGACGACATTTTTGCCAGGAGATCTAGTTTATTTTAAACGGATCAAGCCGCCAGCTCAGCCTCAAAGCCATCTTCGCCTCGCTCACAAACTTTGGAGATGGTACGGCCCCGGTCGTGTCTTGGCTTCAGAAACCCGAACCGATGCCAAGGGATTCGAGAGACGCCCCAGCAGCATCATCTGGATAGTGAGCCATGGTCGCTTGAAACGGTGCTCCCCGGAACAACTTCGACATGCCTCCGAGAGAGAACGCCTCATTGCAGAGGGAATGCAAGCACCGACGGCTTCCTGGACGTTCCATGACCTGGCAGCCACCCTGTTCAAGGGTGAGTACGAGATCTTGGATGATCACCTCCTGCCAGAGGACCTGATCTCAAAGGGTGCGCCGAAGACACCACGGCGACCCAGGTCAGTTGGTCCAGAAAGTGGTGCACCTACAACGCCGCGACCTCGGAGAAGCTCTTCAGTGCCTAGGCTTGAACGGGCCCCAGAAGATGCCCAGCGGACCCCAGAAGATGTCCGAATGATGCAGACCCCAAAAAGAAATGTGAGTGAGATGCCGGCCGACGAAGGGGCACGTCAGAAGGCCAAGGCATCAAGAACGAAAGAAGAAAAGAAGACGGATGTTTTTCGGGAACCTTCTTCCGTAAACCCCGGAACCCCTGGTTTGGGTAGCGGTAGTGCACCTTCTAGCGGACCCCAAAGCGGGACACGCTCCCCCATAGATCTCGGCCGCGTCATCCGTGATCCCGGGTATGACCCGACAGCCATGGCACAGGGCAGGAACATGCCCGAGCTGTTTGAGCAGCCACTGTTCAAGAAGCAGAGGATGAAGCTGGCAGCTGAGACCGACGATGAGCTGCTGGCACATGGCTTCTTTTCCTCAAAGGGCGAGCTTCGCCTTGGTGATTTGGCTTGCGAGATCGAGCTTTCTTTGCCTGTGAAAGCCAGCGAATGGCGATCTATGAAGAGGGACGCCCAGACCTTCTTTGTGAAGAAAGTGAAAGGAGCAGAAGTTCGATGGCACGAACTCTCACCAGAGAAAAAGGCTCTCTTCAAGACAGCCAAAGATGCAGAGGTATCCCAATGGCTCGCTGCTCAGGCCGTTCGAAAGGCCATTGGACCAGTGCCCAAGGACCGTTTGGTTCGCATGCGGTGGGTGTTGACGTACAAAGACACCGGAGCCGCAAAGGGCCGCATCGTTCTCATCGGGTATGAGGACCCGGACCTGGAGGACATCCAGTCTGCCGCACCGACTATGACCAGAAGAACAAGGCAGCTGGCATTGCAGTACTCTTCGGTTCGCGCCTGGCGAGTGCTCAAGGGCGACGTCAAGAGCGCCTTCCTTCAGGGCGAGGCCTCAGAAGCCGACCGGAACCTCTTCGCACTGCCTGTTCCAGAGCTCGCAACCGCACTTGGTTTGAAAGCAGGTGAGGCCGTCCAGGTCATCAAGTCCTGCTACGGGCTCGTGAACGCTCCAGCATCTTGGTTCCAGTGTGTGAAGAACACACTGAAGCAACTTGGCTTTGTTCAGAGCCGGACCGACCCGTGTTTGTGGCTGTTGTTTTCCAATGGGGAATCCACCACCGAGGGTAGGCAGGAAACACTGGGATATGTCTGCTCACATGTGGACGATTTCTTGGTGTCCGGCGACGAAGCCAATGAAGAATGGGTGGCCAAGATTACATCTTTTTACAGCCGATTCAAATGGTCGCCCTGGGAGTTTTCCAGCTTCACACATTGTGGCCTGCAGATCATGGAGCAAGAGGATTTCAGCTTTGTTTTGAGTCACTCCAAATTCATCGAGGGCATTGAACCCATCGAGTTCGAGGCCCGACAAGATCACGATCCTGTGAAAGCAGAGGAGTTGACACAGCTGCGTGGTGTGTTGGGGGCCCTGCAGTGGAGAATCAACCAGAGTTCACCATTGCTTGCTGCCCGACTTGGACAGCTACAAAGCGAGATCAGCAGTGCAACAGTTGGTACATTGAGAGCCACGAACAAGTTGCTGCGTGAAGCATTCCACGGTCGCCATGTGTCAGTGCGTGTGAACCAGTTGCACGTTGGCGATCCTTTGGATGTTTGTTTCCTAGGTTGGTCGGATGCGGCATTGGCCAACCGGAAGGACCTTAGCAGCACTGGAGGCTATGTCATCGCCGCAGCGTCACCCAAGATGTTGCAAGGCACCAGGAGCCCACTGTCACTGGTGTCATGGCGATCGGCTCGCTTGCAGCGAAAGGCTCGTTCGTCTTTGAGCGCAGAGACCCAAGCCCTGGCGGAATGTGATCAGGAGCTGATGTTCACTAGGCTGGCTTGGGCAGAGTTTTGTGGCATCCAAGTCGATTTGAAGCAGCCTTCATTGGCTGTATGCCGCATTTGTGGAGCGGTGATCGTAGATGCCAAAGCTTTGTATGATGTGCTCATCAAGCGAGATCTCAACTCCAGCGGTGCAGGTCTGAAAGACAAATACACCGCTTTGGAAGTGTTGTGCCTCCTTGAATCCATTGAGCGGAATTCAACGATTGTGCGGTGGGTGCACAGCGAGTCACAGATCGCTGATGCGCTCACAAAGCCACTGCCTCCTGGAATTTTAGAGAAGGTCATGGTTGAGGGATCATGGACCCTTCGCTATGATCCAAGCTTCACGAGTTCGAAACGACTCAAGAAGGCCGGACGAGAGAATCCTGTGGTCGCCCAGCCAACCGTCTTTGATCAAGAGTTTTGGGGCATTTCGGAAAACGTTCTTGACAGGTACAGCCACTTGTGTTCCCCCAAGCTTGAGAATGGTTGATCTCCGACGGTTTGCTGTGGCCCAAATCCCAGGATGTCCTTTTGCCTTTGTTCGCGCTTAACGCGCCATGGAGCTACGAGGTGAGTGAAAAGGGTGCTTCGGATAGCGCTCGCTCTTGGAAGGGTTGAGACCCTTGGTACATTGGCCTTGGTTGGTCTGCTAGTTCATACAGGTTTTGAACCCCGTTGTTGACAGCCTCTTTTGCTTGAGCATTGCATTGGAGCCTGCCAGCTGCCAATACCCAGAGGGGTTTTGGCTCCGAGCCTAGGTAGCCAGAAGTCCTAGGACTGTTCTTGATGAATGGCAGGAGACGGCAAGAGGTAGCCTATAGTAAATACCCTGCCCACCCTGGTTGACCCACTTGAAACAGCTTGTGATGCTTGTTGCGGTTTTGTCCTGGAAATTGGAAATCCATGGAAATCAATCGTTGGTGGTCGGAATGTTTCAGGTGGGTTTAGGGTCAAAAGATCTTCTGAGGTGGATGGATATGGAACAAATGTGAGCGTGGCTGTCTCGACTGTTTGCATCCCACAAGCTTATGACCTTTCTGGAGTTTTGCATTGCAAGCTGTCGGGCGCTACTCAACAGAGCCCACCAGTACTAGTGCGGGGGTGCGGGGACTTCTTCTCAGTCTGTTTGTACCGAGTCACTGCAAAGGTGACGGGAGGTGACGGATGTTTTTGGTGAGCGTCCTCGACTGCTCAGGCTATTTCTTTGGCAGTGTCATCGCCACGTGCCTTGGCCAAAACGTCGCCTTCCTCCGCTTTGGTCCGCAAGAAGTCCAGGACTTGTTCAAGAGTGAAGTACTTGTATGATTGGTTTATTTACAAAGCACCTGTGTTGAGTTGAGGCATGTTGAGGCTATCTCCTTTTCTTCTCAAAAGGAACCTTCGCTGTCTTGCGAAGTCCCCCCCCTGCTGCACACCTGCCGCACGGGGCCGGTCCGCCAGGGTCTACCCGAGGTTAAGCCTCCGCCAGGGTGGCATCACCTCCCTGCTTGGGCCGGTGGATCACCGCCCCGTGGTGGAACGAACCCGGCCCAGAGACGTGGGCGTGGGGGGGTTGCACCGGACGTGGGCTGTTGATGTGTGTTTGGGGTTCCTCCTCTTCGCGGTGTTTCACATGACCGAGAGAAGGGTTGGAAGTGGGGGATTCTGAAGTTCTGGGCCATTCGAATCTTTTTCCAGATGTTTGGAAGTGTGCTGGAAGAGGGAAAATTTGGATGGATGTGGTCTTCATAGTCCAAGTTAATTAGCGAAGCTAGTCAGTGTTATCATGTTTCCCCTAGGTTCCTCAAATCATCTCAAATCCAAACCAGGTGAACCAGGTGGTTTCCACCTGACTCCAAAACGGTCCCAACATGGACCGACCTCGGTCGATGTTAGGCCTCGATTTGTATGCGGAGGAGTCAGGCTTCATGCGCCTTGGGCTGTCGGGGGACCGACCGCGGGTGGCCCAGCCCCCCCCCCCAACGGACTGGTGCGTTTGACATGATTGGAGACAGACTGGCCCTGGGCCCCATTGTGAGTTTGTTTTCTTATTTGGGGGGCAACGGCAGGAGGAACTCAGCAGCGAAGGTACCCAAGCTAGTTACTAGTTGTTCTTTTGCCATCATCAGAATTCTGGTGGCCATGTTTTAACGCAGACTTAACACACTTGGGGGAGTTGACAGCGGTTTTCCATTCCACACTGGATGTCCAGCTTGCATGATTAAAAGATGGTTTGAAAGTTGAAAGATGTGTGCAAGAAAATGATGAAAGATGTATTTGTTTCACCGGTCATGGGTCCGAGCCCTGGCTGTGAGGGTCCAGTGATCCGTGAGGTGGCCCCGATTTGTGATCACTAAGCTACAATGCATCAGCAACATACAACATTCGACATATATTATAAGCACGCTGGCGCAAGAGGCCGCGCAAGAGGCCGGCAGATTCAAATGCATTCCATGGGGCAAAGCAACAGAGGTTCTACTTCTGTGTCTTGAAGGTCGGGTGACTGAACATCACTGGCTACAGCCAGGCAGGATCTTGCTCGGTCCCGAGCTGCCGAAGCTGCCGAATTTCCAGCCGCTCCCAAGCTCGTCGGTGACCCCAACGGGACACCCAAGCGCCGTCGGATGGACCTGAGGGCAGATTGGCAGAAGTTGTCCCTCTGGCGCTTGGGCGAGGTCACGGGACTCTACGTCTTCATCGTGTGGCTCGGTTGCGAATGGCCGTGGAACACGAGCGGTGCCGCTGTCCGTTCTTCGGACGGCGCGATGTGAGGTTTCAAGTGCTGAGAGAGCGGTGAGTAAGACTGAGTACGTACTGGGTTGTAGATGAAGTTCGACTGAAGAGACTGGTTGGGGTGTTCATCTAGCAGCCCAGGCACGTGCACCTTGAAGCAGGTGGATTACGGCCAATTTCCAGAACATGCTAGCTGAGTTTCCTTTAGCACTTCCTTTGGCATGCGACATGTGATGCAACAATTACTCTCTCCAGAACTTACGAGGAAGTAGTTTCCCTATAATATTCCTCGTTTAGCATCTTACTGTGGAGGCTCTGCGTGTCATATTCTTGAGTTGGGAAAGACTTCTTCCTCGTAAGTTTGACATGCTAAACTTGCTAGACTTGCTCGACTTCCTCGTTTGTCAGTGCAAAAACTAGAATGTCCAGAAGCATTTAGCCAACAAAGAAGCCTACCAATTTTTGTGATAACTTGGTAAACTTCCTCGTTAAACAGGATCAAGAGAGAGAGGTT